CCCCCCCCCAAAAAAAAAAAACACATTTAGAGAGTTACTATGATATACTTAAATATATACATATACTATATTCAAAGACAAAGGCACCTTCTGGTAGGGGCTCTTCAAAGGGAGCTTTCTGAGTCTCCAGCAGCTCGTTGAAGCCGTGGTCTGTAATCTTGAGAACGAAGCGCCCGTCCACTACACAGTTCCGAGATTTTAGTCTGCCATGGGGGAACTCCCTGTGGTGAAGGTACTTCATCCCCTGAAACACATATCTGTTGTGTTAATTGGTGAAGATATTCACAGATTTATAAAACTGGTAAAATGTGCCAGATAAAAARGCTTTTTAAATGTTATAAAAACAGTACATCCTTAAAGGTTTACCTTGATTAGATCAAGTAAAAGTGAGGACTTGAACATCCAGTCTAACTTAACATCCTCGTTCCTGAGCAGGTCCTGCAGGCTGCCCCGGGAGCAGTGCTCCGTCACCACCGCAAACATGGAGCAGTCCAAGAAAAAGCCCAGGAAGGGGTTTACGTTCTCGTTTCTGAGGTCCTTCATCTAACAAGAGAAAAAAAACCCCAGTAAGAACACCATAACACCAACTTGACCTCTGTCAGATTAACCTGAACACAAAGATATGGTGGTCTACCTTTGTGAAAATCCTGCTGGTGCTTTGTTTCACCTCCTTGAACTGACCCTCCTCAAATTTCTTCAGCCAAACCCAGTCGCCCTAAGAAATGGAGACAAGTGACGGATTTTTGGTCCCAAAGTTATCTTTTACATAAAATCATGAAACAGGTGATGGTACTAAATTATAACTCGGCAGCTCAGATTAGTGCTTGTTAAGATGTTTTCTTTGCTTCAAACAGTTTATTGTTGTGCTGACACTTGTGCTATTTTAATTGGCTCTGTATAGGTAAAAAAAAACATGTTAGAAGCATTAAAAGTTGCAATTTATGCTTGAGGCTGTGGTTAGTAGGTGAATGGGGGAGTTGAATATTTAAAAAGAAATCTAACAATATGAAGAGTTCACTTTAATCGCTCACCCCAGCCTATAATTTATCAATAAGCTTTTCTGAATTCAGTGCTTTTCACATCCTCCCTGAACAGTGATAAGATCAGCAGCTGTTGTGCAAAAATTAGCAACTTTTTCAGTAAAAGGAGGTCGTGGTTTGAGGACGATGAAACAGGTAAGACATCATGTTGAACTGTGTCTGCAAACCACCGTTCAACTTACTTAATTATCAAGTCAATAAATCTGTAGCATTGTGGTAAATRACATAACGTTATGTAAGAAAAATTCGTATTCAATAAACTGAAGTCGATATTAAAACCACCATCGTTAAATAAAATGATTTGTAGAAGGACTCAAACCATACAACACCAGAATTCTGGAACTGAGTGAGGTTTATTGTCACCAAAGCTGACAGGAAACCACACTACCCAAAAACCAGGAAATTCATCAATTTATACATGTTCTTCAACGTCTGCATTCACCCCCTACTGACCTACGGCTGAATCACAGGCATTCATACAAAATTCTCATCTAATGTTCTCATAACATTTTAATTATGTGTTGTCACAGATATTTCGGACATGTAACTAATCTATTATCAATCAAAACATAATAGATTAAACACTGTCAACATTATAAAAAGGAAAACCTGAAAATATAGTGTTGTGCTTTTAACATCAGTACTAACCTCCAATAACTATAAATTTCTTCAGTTATATAATTTAAAATGATTTGACACCACATAACTGAGGAACTGTCTTAGCTTCTCAGAGTCTGAACCATCCTGTTCAGAGCCCACAGATCCAGAGTGTGCAGGTAGGATCACTTATTGACTGAATATTATTAGAATTAATAAAATGAAGATTATGTAGACCTGCTTTATATGAAAAGTGCTCTGAGATGTTTCAGTGCATTTTTGTAACTGAGCTGATGGTCATAAGGCTCTATAAAATGTGAGATTTGTCCTGAGAATTATTTAAAAAGTGAGTTAGTGTCAGAAGCAGAGCCAGGATCCAGGAAAACAGGTGAGCTGTTGTAACAAAGTCTGAACAAACAAGCGTTAATATCAATATAACCACTTTTCAGGCACAAACAATAGAAACCTGTTGTATTTTTATAATTAAAAGTAAGACAAAGCCCACAATCAAAAGGGAATAAGATGAAAGTAATATGAATTAAACCTGCATATTTTGACATTAAATATGTATTAAAT